ATGTGGTATATTTACACAATGGAGTTCTATTCAGCAGTAAAGAAAGATGAAATAATGAAATTTGCAGGTAAATGGATGGATCTAGACCTGATATACTAAGTAACACAGACTCAAAAAAACAAATGACGTATGTTCTCCCTCATATGTGGCTCCTAGCATCAAATCTTTTTAAGTTCCAGGTCTTTTTAATAAGACGAGGCTATACAGCAGTCCCTTCTGCATGAAATAACTACCATCATCATGACTTCGACTGAGCCTGATTGCTAAACATAGTCACAACTGGGTTTGTTGACAGTTGTGCTCATTCATTAAAGGAACCAAGCAGGGTCACTGGACCCTCACCTGAGAATCCAGCCACACTTCCCAGCCAACTAGTCCAGCCTTAGAAGACAAAAGAAAAATGAGGAATAATCCAATAGAGGGATGCTTTTGTAATTCTTATTATTCTTGCCTTTACTTCTCCTTCACAGCTCTTATTCATGATTCAAGGACTTTCTTCTCCCCTTAGAGACAAGAGTTATGCGCATACTCTGTTCCAAAGGCCAACAATGGCCAAAGTATTTGGGAGCTCTTATCTAATCCTTAAAAGATTTTAGGGTTACCTCTTCAGTGGGGGGAATGTTGGAGGGGAGGGAGTGGGCATGGATTTGATCAAAACACCTTATATGCATGTAGGAAATTCTCAATAAAGTTTTTGTAAAAGTTAGAAAAAAAAAAGAAAGAAAAGAAAAGAAAATGAGCTGCTCTTGCAGACGATCCAGGTTCGGTTCCCAGCATACACATGGTGGCTAACAACTGGCTGTAACTCCAGGTCCAAATGATCTGGTGCCTTCTTCTGGCCTCCACAGATATTGCAACACCTTATATGCATGTAGGAAATTCTCAATAAAGTTTTTGTAAAAGTTAGAAAAAAAAAAGAAAGAAAAGAAAAGAAAATGAGCTGCTCTTGCAGACGATCCAGGTTCGGTTCCCAGCATACACATGGTGGCTAACAACTGGCTGTAACTCCAGGTCCAAATGATCTGGTGCCTTCTTCTGGCCTCCACAGATATTGCATAAATGCCTACATACATGCAGGTAAAACACTCATACACATAAAATAAAAATAAATAAATTTTTACAAAGAAAAGGAAAATAAAAACTACCTGATTCAGCCTCTCCAGACAGACCTTGAGGAATGTTGAAAGCTCAGTGGAACTTGGTGATTTGTTACTCTTTTGCCCACCATAAAACTTTGCACTTAGAACCATGTCAACAGAGTAAATAATGTAAGTCCCTGCCTATTTTGTCTTTTTAATACTTAAAATGACAAACAGTGGGAAGTTCCTTCCCTGCGGCTTGGGCCTGAGGAGATCCTGTGAGATGCTGCATTTGAGCTGAACATCTTTTCACAAGTGGCTGCGTTGGTTTCTTTATAGGGTACCCAAAGCAGAGGACCACGGCTCCTCGAAATGGGTTTGCACCCAAGCCTGACCTGCAGGCCCGAGAGGCGGAGCGGCAGCTGGTCCAGCGACTGAGGGATAGGTGTGAGCGACAGGGCAAGCAGCTGGGCCTCGTTCGAGGGGAACTGAAGAAGGCCATCTGCGGCTTCGACGCCCTGGCTGTGTCCACTCAGCATTTCTTTGGAAAGGTGAGGACACGTTTGGTGAATGTTGAAGGGCTTTATGGCTGGGGTGTTGGAGCAGTGCCGAAGGGGCTGGTGAATGGGAGCTGTGCAGGACAGTCAGGCTTTGGGGCAGAATCTCATGTGGAATTCTAGGATTTTAAGGAGCCAACTTTATCCTTATATGTCAAAGAAACTAGTCTGAAAAGAATGATAACTTTGATTCCAAAAAAGTAAGGTATATAATTTTAAAAGGAGGAAAGAATACATACAAAGTTTTTGAAGATAATTTTTTGTGTGTGTTTTTGAGACAGGGTCTCCCTATAGCCTCAGCTGGCCTAGAACTTGTTATGTAGACCAGGCTGACCTTGATCTCACAGAGATCTACTTGCCTCTGCCTCCACAGTGCTGGGATTAAAGGCAAGTGCCACCATGCCGGCAAAGATAAAATTTTTGAAAGAAAATTGTGTGGGATTTTTTGCACATTCGAAGGGAGATGGGCAGATTCTGAAGTTTCAGCTCATCTGAGGTCAGAAGGAGATGGAACCTCAGCACTGTCACCTTGGCTACTGATGGGAAATTCACTGGGCCCTACAGCATGGAACAGGATGAGGTCTTCACTGAAAAGTGTTGGTTTCTTCTCAGCAAATGTCTGCAGACCCTGGGGCCATCTGGAAGCTAAGTATGTTATTAGCTCCTCACCACAGTCAGAAGGTGAATCTTGCTAAATTATGAACTCCAAGCCATGGTGTGCACATGGGGGTAAAAATGAGTCTTTACTTTGGAGATTTGAATGTAAGGTCATTTTTTTGAAATTATTATTATCATTTGTTGTTGTTGTTATAATAGAGCACCCAAGGTGGGTAATTTACTTAGGGGGGGGAGAGAGAGAGAGAGAGAGAGAGAGAGAGAGAGAGAGAGATTGATTCATTTTGACACACAGTTCTACGAAGCCCAAGAGTGTGGTGACTCCAGTTCCTGCTGGGTTTCTGTTGAGGGCTGGCACTGCCTCAGATCATAGTGTGAAACAGAAAGGGAAGTGACCATGGAAAAGACAGGGAGGGGCAAGCCAGTGAAATGCTTCATAACAACCCACTCTCCAGTCTTGAGAGAAAGACATGAATTTGTTATTGATTCAAGTATTTCATGCAATGTATTTTGATTATATTCAGACCCCCTCTCTCCTCTCCACCTCCTCCTTACTATCCCTCCCCTGAATTCATGTCTTCTATTATTATTTTTCTTTTTAAAGAATGTTAAAGGCCTATCGAGACTCTAATCTGTGTTTCCCAAGTGCTCTTGGGTGTAGGTCTATCTCTTGGAGTCTGGCCAACCTTCTACCAGTAAGGAAAACTGACTCTCCCGCTCCTAGCATCAGTTGCCAATAGATCCATAGTTAGGGATGGGGCTTCCTGCACACCTCCCCTACTCATGTTAAGCCCCTGTCTGACTTAAGTTTGCTCAAGTCTTGTGCATGCTGTCATAAGCACTGTGGGTTCATATGTACAACTATCCCTTGGTGTCTAGACAACACAGTTTCCTTATATTCATCTACCAGTCATCATCTGACTCTTACACCCTTTCTGCCCCCTCTTCTGCAGTGATCCCTGAGCCTTGGAAGGAGAGAGTATGATATAGGTGTCTTCTTTAGGGAGGAACATATCAGTCTCTTATTCTCTACACAGTGATAATTTGTGAGTCTCTGTGTTAATCTCCAACTGCTGCAAGAAGAACCTTCTCTGGTGAGAGTTGAAAGATGCACTAAATCTATGGATGTAGTAATAAGGCATTGCCAGTTGCTTTAATATTATGTCCATTTAGCAGGAAAAGAGGAGTAGGTGCTCCCCTGTGGCCTGTGACATATCTAACCACAGGTTCTGGGTCCTGATAACAGTGTTAGGTATAGACTCTCTTTACTAATCTAGCTTTAGCTTCTCTCTTCCTAAAATTTTTACACAGTAGTAAATGACCAATTTAAATTTCTCACCTTTCTGGACTGGTCATGTTGGTGTCAACTGAGAGTGACCTGTCCAAGAATTAAAGTTACAGACACATTTTTGAGGTGTCAGAGAAGCATGTCTCACTATGATACACATGGATCATTTTTCTTGGCGGAGTGGCATGGCTTATCTTTGACCTGGATGCAGATTTTTCATCAACTGTCAAGTCTTCAGTAGAGAAAGAAACAGGGTATTCACTGGAACTGGGTGGCCACAGTTACAATGTTACTCTAGACCTGCTTGTAATTCCTCTTTCCACATGATCTCCTCGGTGAGCCTTGATGGAAGTTTGGTATGGATAGACATGTCCACAGGTACTGATGAGAATCTAATTGTGTTTTACAAGTTGAAACTTTTAGAACCTACTTATGGTGCTATCACAAGTAAGAGAGCTACTATACCAGAATTAAGGGTTCAGTCCCATAGTTTTGCAATTCTGTTCCCCAGAGAAACTTTTTATTGGCCCATGAATTTTATTTCCCTGTGGCAAACACAAAGCTCTTAAATCAGAGGTCTACTAGGGCTACAGGATTTGTAGGCATCTCTATCAGACCTACCAACCACCAGAGATGCATTGACCTGACATGTCAGTCAGTAAGATGGATGGTGGGCATGATTTTCATTGGCTTTTCAGTAAATCACAACTAGCAACTCAAGACAGACATGTACAATGATCATCTCTCTACCCATACCACATGGCCTTTTCTATCTTTTTGCTCTCTCTGCTTCCTCTAGATTAGCCCTAGAAGATAAAAAGAGACATGGTTGAGAAGCAAGCAGGCAAAGTCTTTAACTGAGTATTGTCCCTGGCTTCCACAGCATGTCAGATGCTATGTATAGTTTGCCATCAAGCCAAATGCCACCCATTGGTCAGATAGAGGGCAAATGGAGGCAGGTGCCTTGAAGCCTTCAAGGTAAGACTCTATGAAGATTCAAGGGCTGGGAAGCCTGAGGCACCCATGTCACTCCTGGGGGCAAATGTCCCCTTGAGGGAGGAGGCCAGTCATGAGAAAGTAAAATCACCATGGCCAATCCAAAATGAAGTCATTTTTGCACACTCAGTTAAAACTCCACTAGACCTCCTTCCTGTGTAGAATGCACATGTGCCTGCTGCAGCCCGTAGTATTCAGCTACAAAGCATCATGGAGAGAAGAGGCACCTCACTGACAGCAATAATGCCACTCCTGCCTCTGGAAATGCAAGCAAGACCCTGTCCATCCATGTGCCTGCCATCATCCCTGATAATGACAGCAGCCTTTCCTTGTTTGGCCTCCCCTGGCTGTCTACTCTCTGCCTGAGTCTCATCTTCCTCCACCTCAGACAGGATGAATGACACTTCTTTGTGAGACCTTTGTGAGGATGTAGTGAATTAATGGGCAAAGGCACTTTAAGGAAATACTCGAGAGAATACGCTTTTGTGATTGCAAGGAAATCTACAAGACCTACCTTAGGGGTGCTGCTCTCAAGTGGGCTTAGACTATGCAAGCTGTGTAGAGTGAACACTCATTCTCACCCTCTCAGACCTCATTATGCAGGTCGAGCATCCCCGAATGGAATTCTGAAGTGTTCCAACTTCTGAAATTTTTTGAATACTGACAAGAACACAAGTGTAAAATTTCACACTTGAACTCCTATGACTGGTTGTGCTTTGAAAACGTTTTATGATATTACCATTACCCTGTGCCTAAAGGGTGCATATAAAACATAAGTGAAGTTAATGTTTAGACCTAGAGCCCATCCCCAAGGTAACTCATTATGTACAGTATACAAACATTCCAAAATCTGAAATTTAAAAGAAAAATCTGAAACCTTTTGGACAAGGGACACTCAACCTGTATTTGTATATAGCAGGTTTAGTCCTGTCTAGCTCTTCAGTGGTGCCAGGAAATTTTTCCTGGATGTGCTGACATGTGCTTTGAAGGACTTACTGGAAACTCTTCTCACCACTGGAGAACAGCACCAAAGCACAGGCAGAATTTCCTGCCTTGCCCCATACTTGAAGCTCCTGGCAGAGAGGCTGCGGAAGTTGTCAGCTCTGACAGCTTCATCCCAGTGCCCAGGGATTCTGAGATGCTGTACTGAGGTGCCAACATAGCCTCACGTCCACACATTTCCCACAGCTCTGCCTCTGCAGCCAGGCGTGTTCCTCAACAGGCCAAACAGACCTGAACTCTGTGGTGGCAGTGAGAGTGACCCTCTGGGGCTCACACTTCTCAGGGTCCAGCTGAGGGGTTAGACTCTCTCCTACTCTGTGGTTCCTGGGAATGCTACCCTGTAGCAACCTCTGGTGGACAGTCCCTGAAACAGTCCAGACAATGATGTTTCATGTTGAGTGCGGAGTTTCTTAGTTACATAGGAGCATATGTTTAGTTCCATTTTTATTTTAATAAGATTTATTGTATTTATTCAATATTTTAATATTGACTTATTTTCATCATTAACTCTGTGAATATGATAGTAGAATATGCCTTTTGTTTTGAGGTCTTATTGAACAGATTGGGCACACATTATGGACAACATTAGCATTCTACTATATTAGCTTTATGCATGTTTTGTTGTTAAAGGGCTGTGTTTTGATCCATCTCGTGTTTCAGCTTCAGCCTTTCTACCTCATTTCACTTGGGTTGGCAGAGGATCTTGACCAGCTGCCTCTGCCATAAGAAAGAGTCTACGGAGGGTTTAAAAATTCAAAAGCAGACAGAACTCTCAAATAACAACCAGCAGAGTGCCTGTTGGCTGACCGGTTAGTATGCCCTAGGCTCTACAGACATTATTTTAACTTTCACAAAATGCCTCCACCTGGTAGAGATGGATATTCCTGTACGACATTTGGGGGAACTGAGGGAGACCCATAGGTCTCTGAACACAACATAATTAGAGCGTGATGGAGCCAACACCCATGTTTCTCCACTCTGTGGTATGCTACCTCTCCCTCTCCTCCCAACCCTCATGGTATGTCTGCTCTAGTTAAGATGAAGAAGTCATATAATTATAGAAAGTTAAATGTTAACTAAAAGTTAAAGTTAA